TTATTAGTCCTTGAAAAATATTCTTTAAAAATCTACGTTTATTAGTCCTTGAAAAAATATTCTTTAAAAATCCACGTTTATTAGACTTTGAAAAAATATTTAAAATATCCACGTTTATTAGTCCTTGAAAAAATATTCTTCAAAAATCCAGGTTTATTGGTCCTTAAAAAAATATTCTTTAAAAAATCCACGTTTGTTGGTCCTTGAAAAAATATTCTTCAAAACTCCACGTTTGTTGGTCCTTAAAAAAATATTCTTTAAAAAATCCACATTTGTTGGTCCTTGAATAAATATGCTTTAAAAATCCACGTTTGTTGGTCCTTAAAAAAATATTCTTTAAAAAATCCACGTTTGTTGGTCCTTGAAATAAAATTCATTAAAAAATCCAGGATTATTGGTCCTTGAAAAAATATTCTTTAAAAATCCAGGTTTATTAGTCCTTGAAAAAATATTCTTTAAAATTCCACGTTTATTAGTCCTTGAAAAATATTCTTCAAAACTCCACGTTTGTTGGTCCTTAAAAAAATATTCTTTAAAAAATCCACATTTGTTCTCCTTGAATAAATATACTTTAAAAATCCACGTTTGTTGGTCCTTAAAAAAATATTCTTTAAAAAATCCACGTTTGTTGGTCCTTGAAAAAAAATTCATTAAAAAATCCAGGATTATTGGTCCTTGAAAAAATATTCTTTAAAAATCCAGGTTTATTAGTCCTTGAAAAAATATTCTTTAAAATTCCACGTTTATTAGTCCTTGAAAAATATTCTTCAAAACTCCACGTTTGTTGGTCTTTAAAAAAATATTCTTTAAAAAATCCACGTTTATTAGCCCTTGAAAAATATTCTTCAAAACTCCACGTTTGTTGGTCCTTGAAAAATATTCTTCAAAACTCCACGTTTGTTGGTCCTTAAAAAATATTCTTTAAAAAATCCACGTTTGTTGGTCCTTAAAAAAATTTTCATTAAAAAAATTTCGTTTTTCGGTCCTTAAAAAATATTCTTCAAAAAAATCCACGTGTGTTGGTCCCTCAAAATCGTTCATCTTTCTGTGCAGAAAATATATTTTTTGTAAATTTTGAACTTTTTTTTGGGAGTTACTAGAAGGAGTGGACCGATATTGCCCATCTCCGAACTCGATCTAAGTTTGACAAAAATATTACGATGTACCAAGTTTTAACCAAATCGGATATTCCCCCGAGAGTTATCGTGCGCACCAGCCAGCCAGCCAGCCAGACAGACGGACGAACATCGCTAGATCGACTCCAAATGTTCTGAAACGTATTTGGTCTAAAGAGACCTAGCGTCTAAAACCGTTATTTCGATGAGCCACGTTTTGGCCGTATCAAGCCATATGGCTGAGGTTATAAAAATAATACCTTGTGTCACAGTGCGACGTAGGGTATAACAATTGCCAAACTATGTCCTTATTTTGGTTAATCCCACATATAAATTAGTGCTTGTAGAATTTCCCGAGGGTACGACAAATTTACACGAAAGTATTGCAAAATTCTTCCAAAAAAAGTTTTAACAGCAACAATAATTTTATGTTGTTTACCACTTACTTATTCGGAATGAAATAATTTCATTGATTACTTTCTGTACTAAAACACTGAATTCATAATAAGGTCTATTCGATATTGACAAACTGCTATGATCATAATGATCACCTTATCCCTGTCACTTGCTCTCAAACTATTTGTCTGTTTGTCGCCTTTACAGGTGTAACCTAAGCACGTGCCGTTACAAATTCGTATGCTAATGAGAATATGAAGTGCATTAAAAACAGTCTTGTTGTTCTGTCTTTCGCACATGTGAGAGATGAAACCAAATACTCTCAATGAACCATGTTAAACGAGATACCGAAATTGGTATTGGAAATGTGACAATGAAGATCACTTATGTGATCGTGTAAATAAAATGCACCCCATAAAGACGAAGTGTAACATTTGACACCCTCTGATCATAATTGTTGGCCATAATTGTCACAATTCTAATCATAAATTGCAGTTTTTATATCATGAAAACAAGGATGTGCATTACATTGTCAGTTGTTATCCTTGCAAGGCATATAAATACCAAGTGCAATTGGTAGAACAGTTTCAGTTCTAGAATAGACTTTGGCGAGCAGAGAAGAAAAAACGATGACCACGTATTGTCGAGTATCGAATTGTCAATGGCAAGGATCAGAGAAGGAGATATTCTATCATCTTGAATTGCATCATAGACAATTGTTAAGAGAATCTAAGGGCAAAATCTATTTTGATTTGTCCGCAAAGGATCTACAATATGAAACGCTGGTACTTGTATGCCAGGAAGGTCTCTATTGGCTTTCTCAAAATCATCAGCAAAATACGCAATTAAATGTTATTCAGATTGGTGTTTTTCATATTGGTGAATCTCAGCGCATGAAATATAGCCTGCAACTACTTGGACAGCCTCAACAACAACTTGGTCCGTATTTGACTCAACAAGATCATGCTCCAGATCAACGACATAATGATCTTTATGAATTGAATGTTGATTTTAAGTTATTCGATAACAGAGATCATTTGGAAAAATTACGCCTCCGCTTTGATCGTAATGATGTGGGAGAAACATCAATTTTAGGATCTCGAGAGAAGCAGAATACAGATTTTTTAAAAAATAATAACAATTTTCGCAAGCTATCTGCCGATAAACTAATATGTGCGGTGTGTTTGGACTCCATACGCCACGAAGCCAGATTTTGTGAAAACGAGCATTTTGTGTGTTTAGATTGCTTTGAGGCCATGCTGAAATATCGAAAATTGAGATGCCCCACCTGTCGTGGCATATACTTGTATGATTGCTTAAGGGATGTAGAGGAATTTTGGAAGCAGAAATTGGAGTCGTTTGATGAAAAAACGGATGGAGAAAAAAGTGAATGAAATTTTTAAGAATATTGTAATCCAAAAAAAATAATTATAAATGTATTTCAATCTTTAATTTTTTATTTTTCAATTTTGCAATTCAATTTTGTGATATGACAAAAGAGGGGCGGACCGACTATGTGATATTGGTCGTTTGTACTACGGATTTAGTGCGGTTTAAATTGATTTGAAATCAAATGCAACATATATGTAAATGGGAGCTACATTTCAATATGAATCGATTTCCACCAAATTTGACAGAGGATTTTCTATGATGTTAGTGATTTCTCGTACCAAGTATCACTTATCCTAGTAGCATAATCCAAACATTGAATGGAGGTATTTCCAAGCTGTATGTGATGTGCCAATATCACAATTATATGTATCATTTCATTTATTTAAACGAATTGAGATAGGTTGCTAAACCTTTTGCCCAGATCAGTCTTTTGTCTACAGTAAGATAAAGTTCGAAGAGTCATATAGTCGCCGACATTCGGTATTTAAATGAAGGTAGCCAATTTTTTCTAATGAAATTGTCTGAAAATCCGCACGAGGAGTTCCCTCTGAGTACTTAACCCACTGGAAGAGTATTGTCTATATAGATCCACGCTATCGTATAACCCCCGGTATAACGGTACCTCCCTATATTCGGTAGTCTGATGATTTTAGCTAAATTTTTCAATGGAATTGTCTGAAAATCCACACAAGAATTTCTTTCTAAGCTCTTTATCACTTGAAAGAGAATTGTCTTTATAGGTCCACGATATCATATAGCCCCCATATATCGGTCCCTCCCGATATTCTGTATTTTGAAGATTTTTTATTATTATTTTTTATTATTCGCCGGAATTGTTCCATATTTCGTATTTGAAGTTCCTAATGTGTACTACAGTCTGTGATTGTCTATGCTGGTCTAGGTCTTCGTATAGCCCCCATATATGGGCACCTCCAGATATTCGGTATTTTGATGATTTTAGCTACATTATTCATCGGATTTTTTTCAAGTTTTGTATTTGAATCTTCGATATAACTGCTATACCTGTTATTTTTAAGATTTTAAAAGAATTTTAAATTTGTTGTTTTTTTTTTAAACGTCCAAATTCGTTCCAAATGGTGAAGGGTATTCAAATTTTAAAAATTGTTGAAAGCTCTTTAAAGTATGCAATAAATAAAGTATGAAAGAGCCACTTTACATACGACTCTAACATAATGTTCGTCCTTGGAATTGTTCAGAATTTTATCTTAAACTAAAATTTTTATAAATATATAAATGAAGCTGTTAGAGTTTCTGAGATCAAAATGTCTGTCTACCCCTATCTAATTTCTCACAAAACGACAAGAATTTCAAATATATTTTCTAACCCTCTAGAAGTAATATTTCCTCATGAAACAGTGTTCACTAAGCTATTCCTATTCCCCTAATGATTTTCCGACCTCTGCTTCACCAAAGTTTAAATTTCGACCCGAAAGAAAACCCTCATTTGTCTTCTTTCGGGCCGATGGCAAGGGTGAACTAGGTCCTCTCACAGACTTCTTTGGTGTACGTTCGGGTTCCTCATCATCGATTTTTTAGGGTTGCATCAGATGGTGCAGTTAAAAAACTTTTAAGACCAGGCGGCTACAGGATATGGCCGACCTCTGCTTCACCAAAGTTTAAATTTCGACCCGAAAGAAAACCCTCATTTGTCTTCTTTCGGGCCGATGGCAAGGGTGAACTAGGTCCTATCACAAACTTCTTTGGTGTACGTTCGGGTTCCTCATCATCGATTTTTTAGGGTTGCATCAGATGGTGCAGTTAACAAACTTTTAAGACCAGGCGGCTGCAGGATATGGCCTATTCGAACGAATCGTTTTGTTACGTGAAGAAATCTTTCTTCGTTCTTTTCACGTACTTTAGCATCTACATATTCTCCTAAGATTTAGCCTCCGACCTTTGGCCTTTGACTTTCAAAATAAATAAAATATAACCAAAATTGGAATCATTTTTTCCTTTTTAAATTCTAGTTGGGGTTTTGATTTGTTAAACAATTTTCAATACGATATTTATAAGCAATCAAGTTGACACTAGTCCCCCATTTTTTTTAAATTATAAAAGCAAATAAAACACCAGGTATTATTTTTCTTTAAATATTCACTTTTTTAAAATATTTTTATTTATTCAGCAGTATATGCGTTGTTTTGTGCATATTATTGTATACAGATTTCACAACAACTGTTGATATTATTATATAAAACTAAAACTATGAAAATTAAAACTAAAATTGAATTCATTTTTTGTTCTTTTTAAAGATAGCTTATGAAATAGGTGTTTCTTTTTCGTTTTTTGTTTTCAATAATAAGAAGATCAAAACAAACATAAAAGTTTTCCATTGGAAGGAGGTTATCTGTGGTGATAAAATTAAATTGAATTTTTTTCTTTCGTAAAGCCAATAGTTAATAGTATGATTATGATGTAAAAATTAGAATTATGAGAGTTGGGTAAGAAGTGGTGGGGGTGGGTGTTCAAAGATTGAAACTACTAAGACTACATGGTAGTAAAAAAAATAATATTACAAACTAACTAAAAAGAATAGTGTCAACACTTTTGGGTGGGTTGGACGACGATCGATCATGCTTTTGGAAGAACATAAATCTAAAGATCAAATAAATTAAAGCAGTTGGTAATATCAAGAAAATAAGTGCAACAAGGAATGCTAATACAAACTGGGAAATAGTTTCTTTGAAAAAAAATTATAATTGCTATTATGTGTGCTTGTCTGTGTATGTGTGAACTTATAATTATGCTATTATTAAGTTAATAATAAAACCATCACCATTGATTGCACAATAAACCCGATGATTATATTTCAAATAAATGATATATCAAAGTCCAAATACTAAACAAGGCCTTCTTTTATGCAAGTGCCACACATTGGCCAAGTTTTAGTTGTGGAGTATTTCTATGGAATTTAAAGAGAAATCTTTTGGAAAAGAAAACGAAAACATTTCTCTTTGAATTCCTTTATGGGTGTAGTAAAAGTAAATATCTATTTTGCTGTTTATAAACAAAATATGAAATTTGTTTATATTACGACGCATATTATTTAAATATCTTTGCAAGTAAAGCTGTTTTTTCATGTTGATGTTTTAAACTTATTTTACATGTCTCTTTCTTAAACAAAATTAACGTAACAATTACATTTATATAAAGTGTAAAAAAATGAATGTTAAAAAACATACTACTTTTAAATCATTTATGAACAGCAAAATTTTGTGGAGAAATTAAAACTAAAAATTTATTTTGTTTTGTTTTTTTCTTTAAAAATGTATATTTATATTCAACTTTAATAGTAAATTCTAAAAACTAATATAAATTATAATAAAGCAATAGAATTATTTTTTAAGGCCTCTTGTGAGTTTTGTTTTTTTTTTTTTTAGAAAATTGGAAGTCGTTTGAAATATACAATGATTAGATGTAAAACTCTTAAGCTAATATTTTTAACATGATAATTATTATAGCTAATAATGTTAAGTGTTTGGTTTTTATTGTTTTTTATAAATCAAAATTGAATTGAATGTGATAAAGTAAAACAAAATAATTCATATAAAATAAAATTCATTATAATTTCTTTAAAAAACAAAAAATTATATTAATTCATGAATTAGCTTTTTTCAAAAATAAACTTCAAAAAAATCAAAAGAAACATCTTCCAATTTGTTTGAGAAAATATCATTTTTTTGTTCTCCCTTTGAATAGAAATACATGAGGTTACTTTTGAATGATTATTTGTTGTTAAAAATCAAAGTTGGAAAATTCCTTAAAGCAAAATTAAAGAAAACACTTTACAAAAAATGTACATTTATATATAGAAAATAAAAATTAAGAAAATAAAACTTTGTACAAATTCAAGTTTTGGAAAGGAATGAAAGGATTTGTGGTCCAAAAGACTACTATTTCCTTCCCTTTCCATAACCTTAAAATAAAATTAATTAAGTATTTACATTTTATCATCAATCTATCGAGGAAGTGAGTGTGATGATGATTATGATTGGTGTTACCGGAAAACTTTAAAAGCTTCAAATTGTGTTGTTTGTTTTCAAAATTAAAGCAAGGGTTTTTCAAAAAAATATATATCTCAAAATTAATAAATCTAAAAAGAAATGGTTGACTTAAAAATTGTTTGTCTTTTTCACACTAAAATCTTTCTTCTTATTATTTAAACCGAATGACTTTGCGCAATAAATCAATTCATATTTTCAAATTAATTTAAATGTGATTTGGTAAAAAAAATATTTCTTTTTCCTTACATATTTGCTCAGCAAAATGTTCCGCGACGTGGACGTGATAGAAAGTTAAACTATAAATCAAAAAGTTATTTCTTTTGTTAAAACAAAAAATCATAAAAAGTATTATCAAAAAAAGTTTAACGATAAATTAAAATTAAATATGTATATCAAAAAATAATCTCTGATTTTTAAGGCAGTTTTTTTAATTTTGTGTTTTTTCTTTTGTTGTTGTAAGACATCATGTTGTTCCAATTGTTGTATACCATTTTGTTTACTTATTTTAATTATAATGTGCTGATATCTTACACACTAATTATGCACCGGCATTGGCAGTTGTCCAAGTAAATTGTTGGCAAATTGTGAGTTATTGAATTTGAAATGTCTCTTGTCATAGAATTTCAATAAGGCCGGTGAATAGGGATGATTTTCTTTCAAGTGGATGTAGTGAACTTCAGGTTCACAGGTGGTGTGACCACATTCCTCACAAACATACATCTGAAATAAAAAGAGAAACAAAAATAAATTTAATATTAAAAATTCAAAATATGATTCTATTTTGATTCTAATTTCAATTCAAAAAGAATTATTCTATTGTTCTGTTATTCTTACCTTAGTTCTTCTCTCCTTATAGGCATATTGATGCTGTACACTGTGCACCTTCAAACAGTGCGATTCCAGTGAACATCTTTGGGTAAAACTCTTTTCACACAGATTACATTTGTATGGTCTTACACCGGTATGTGTGCGAGTGTGTCGTTTCAAATCAAATGTATCGTTAAATCCTTTGCCACAGAAAGTGCACAAGTAACGTTTGATTTCCGAATGACACTTCATGTGACGATTTAGCAGACGTTTTAGCGAAAATGACTTCAAACAGATGCGGCAAACAAAATTATTTGACTCTTGGCTGTTTTCGCTGTTGCTACCGCCGCTGCCATTACTATTTCCACCGTTCATGCTGGCATCAGTGATAAGGGGTTTTTTCATGTCATCCAAACAATCAATGCTGCGTATACGATGATGATGACCATGGGTATTTTCAATGGCCAAGGGATTTTTGATGCCATGACCGCCATTGACAAATTCCAGTTGTACTTCTGGCGGTAGGCCCAACTGTAAGGAGAAAAACATTAAGAAAAATATTAAAAATTTCGAATACACCTGAGTAACAAATAACAACAAAATAGGGGGTTTTGGGATCGCAGAAATGAGTAGAAAAGGGGATCGAAGTAATATGACCATCCATATGATCCCAAAGAAAAACATTTACAATTTCCATGGATATTTCTGAAGGACTATACAATTTTCAAACATATTTTCTTCTTGAGAATATAAAACATTTTTCTAAAGTTGAATCAGTAGTGATTTTTTTGAATGGAATCTCAATTATTAACATATGACATGGGCACTGTACTTCGCCCATGTCACCCATTAATCTCTTCTTTATTTTGTCTTTTCTTTTTAATAAAAATTTCCGTCTCTAAGACATACAATTTTCAATAATGATTTGAAATTGTTTCAATTATTTTTTAAATTGAATGAAAAACATAATTGTCCCACGAAATTTAATTTGAAAATTGTATAGCTGCAAAACAATGTCAATTTCATAAAAAATAGTAATTATTTTATTGCAAAAGATAATTAAAATTTTTCTCAAAAAGGACAATGCTTACCCGCTGCTGTAGCACTTTGCTTTCATGCAGCTTAGCAACAGTGGGAGAAGTTAAATTTAATGAAGCCGCGGCAGCTAAATTTAGAGAACGTTTTTGCTTGTACGACGACACAGAGGAGGAGATCGACGACGACGACGACGATGATGAAGAGGAACAATAACGTGTACTAGTAGTGAGGCATTGGGTGGGACTTACACTTTGTATGATGGGTTTGGTGTCCAACAATGATGTATCCAATAGAGCAGAGGCTGAACCAGATGATGTATTGCTGGCTGCCGATGACATTGGATGATGGCCTTGTGATGGAATCATCATGTGACCATTGGCAGTTGTTGTGGCAGAGTTGTTTGCTGAAGAATTCGGTGAGGGCAGTGATAGATTGCTGTTATCACTATGATGTTGAAGATGGTGCGGATGATGATGATGGTGCTGGTTGGAGGCAGTATTTGCACCACCGTGTTGTTGTGATGGGTGACCACCATGTGGATGTTGGTGATGATAATGTTGTTGTTGCTGTTGCTGATGATGATGCTGCTGGTTTGGCTGTTGATTTAATGATAAAGGATGTTGTTGCTGTTGATGATGTTGAAGTTGATGATAACCGTTGCCATGTTGTTGCTGCTGCTGATAGTGTTGCTGTTGCATTAAAATATTATTTTGGTTTAACAGATTATTCAAAGGTGGTTGGGAGTTTGTGTTTTGATTCTGGCCATAGCCTTGTTGTTGCTGTGGCATTTGCATCATATCTCTGGTGGCATGTTGATAAGAAGGTGGAGGCTGTTGCTGATGCTGCATGTTATGATGCTGTTGTTGCTGCTGCTGTTGTTGTTGTGGTTGTTGTCTCTCATAGGGAGCATAGTTGCCAGCAGTCTGTTGAGTTCGTCCCATATTATTAGTCAACTGTTGCATGAGATTCTCATGGAAGGAATCCAACTGGGAATTGGTTGAGTTATGACAATCCACTGGAGTAATGGAAACCGAATCCGGTGTTAACGAAGGTGTTGAGACCAGCTCAAAATCTTGTCGTGGAGATGTGGAATTTTCGTCATCAACACAATTACGTTGCAGGAAAGAACTCAAGTCTACAGCATCGGACAATTGTTCCAACAAATGATCCGTTTGTGAGGAGAGCATCAATGTGGCAGTGAATTGCAATGGATCAACCGTTCCATTGGGTCCTTGAGCCGTTGAAGCCAAATCAGACATAATAGCATCTTCATATGCCGAAGCATTGAAATTACCCGAATTCCCCATGGTTGCCTGTATGATATTTTGAGCAAAGGCTCCAATATCAATTTTGGCCTCATCATACTCAATGTCAGGCTCATCCTTTAGTATGATACCATAAGCTGAGGGATTAGGCCCATAAGGCAGATGTGGAGGATAATGTTGCGGTGATGAATTCGAAGAGGGAGAAGAAGGTTGGTTATATTTAGCGCAGTGAGCTAAAGAACTGTAAGGAAGAGAATTATTACCGTGGCCATTAGCAAAGAGCATGCTAGAGGCTGACGAGGGTGTTTGATCCAATGAAGATCCAGAGAGGCTGGCACCGACAGGCGAACCGCCGCCACCACCACCCATATTGTCACCACCCCCTAGGGGATATTGCTGACCACCACTACCACCGCCATTGCCAGCAGCAGACATTAAATAAGCTGCCGCATTTTGTAGCAAGAAATTCGAAGAAGCTGTAGAATTAAAATTGGTCGTCGAAGAGCCATTCATGTTATTGCCACTTTTCAGTGATTCATAGAAAGGCGGTAAGGCACCAGAAGGAGGTGAATTGGGGCCATAATTACCACGACCATCGCGTCCACCACCCATGCCGCCACCTGCACCTCCGCTAAGACCGCCTGATCCTCCAAAACCTGTGGGAGAACCGCCTCCGCTTGAAGGCTGCTGAGATCCGGAACCGTTGGAACCGCCGAAACCACCCTGAAAACCTTGTCCTTGGTTACCACTGTTCGAACCTGATGTTGTACGACCGTGTCCAGCAGCTGCAGCCAATATACCAGGCAAGGAGCGAATAAAACGTGGATTTACTCTAGCTTGAGCTAAAATTGTGCGCGCAGCAATCAAAGCGCTTCTGCGTCTAGCTTCTCTTAATTTGCGTTCTCTTTCCAAACGCTTGGCGTTCAATTGTTGTTCTTCGTCGTCGTTGTCAAGTGTTGCCTTTCTGCGTGGTACGTGATAATCAATTGGTTCCTGTTGCTCGGGACCCAAATGTTCCAAATTCGACAAGGGCAATAGAACTTCGTGTGAGCGTCTTCTTTGGTTTTCTTCCAAATTCGAGGGTGTTCTTTGTATAACACTACACCTTACTGCCGGTTCTGGACAAGGTGGTGGTGAGGGTCTTTGATCTTCGGGAGGCGGTGTGGAACGTACTCTCAACGATAAGGGTTGTTCTTCCGGTACTAAAGGTTTTTCATCAACAATCAATTTTGAACCATCATCTGAATCACTATCCGAATCGGAATTATCATCTGCCGTGGATGGTTGCTGTTGTGGCGGGATGGAATTATTTCTCAAGACCTCACTTTGAATTTTTTGCACAATTTCCAAAGGATATTCCTTGCGTTGGGCTTGGGTCAAAACAACATTGCCAATAAGCGATTTGTTGTACGAAGTAATGTAACGATGTTTGGGCGATGCCGATTTAGGAGAATCGTTTTGTTCTTCCACTGCTGCTTGTACAACAGTTGTCTGTGGAAGATGATCTTCAGACTTTGTATTTGAAACTTTGGGTAAAAATTCGGTGGTATTGGTGCAGTCTTGTTGATGTGGTGTTGTAGCAGGAGGTGGAGACAATGTGCAGGACGAAATCACAACGTTGCTATGGGCAGGTGGTGATGGTGTACGTGAGAGTTGCGCCTCTTCTGCGATGGTGGTGGTAGTGATTGAGTTGTTGGTGGTGGTGACCTCCGGGGATAAACGATCTTTGCCCTCGGCCAAAGATGTGATGGGACCAACTGCAAGAAAAAGAAGAAAAACATTTTGATTAGTACAGGCTTAAAATGATTAAACTAAATAAAACAATAATAAAAACTTTCTTTACGCCACGATATGGAACTTTTCAAAATGGCCGCTGCTTTTCGTTGAAATTCTATGTATTCCTAGGAAAAAACAGACTAAAAGAACAATGCTACTTATTTCGAACAGTTTGTTTTTATTTCACTGATTTGAAGGACTAAAAACGTTTCCCGAATATTTTCAAAAGAAATCACGTCTCTAATTGACTGGTTATGAAATTAAAATTCTATTTGCTGGAATTTGTCAAATTGCTTGCATTCCTCGAACGAAACTAGAAAGAATGGTTCAAAAACATAACTGTTCTTTTGTGACTTCTCTTTTTGTCCCTCGTTGCGTTGTTGTTGTGAGGCTGTTTAGGCATTGCCAGATAAAAATTTTCATTGAGCTTATGTTTGTTGTTACACGAGAAACTTAGAAAATATTTGAGGGGGTAGCGAGAAGCAAAGTGTAATGGAAATTTCAGTGGAGTTTTTTAGCGTATTTTTTTTTTTTTTTTCTTAACAAAAATACAAATTATGCATTCTTTTTTGGGCAAATCTTTCGATGCAAATCTTGCCACTTGAATTAAAAATCTGAATCTTGGAAATTAAATTAATAAAACTTAATAAAACTTATATATACATCAAAAGCATAATTTTTTAAATTTTAATTGGCAATTCAGAACTGTTTTCCATTTATTCTTTTATGTTGACTGTAAACATGCCACACAACTGTGTTTAACGGTTGTAACGGATTATTATCCTTTGGCTTGCACATGAGGAAATGCTTTAACTTCACATTATTTCTTTCAAAATCCACTACATATTCATAACTTTCCTCCCATCAAATGTATAGCTCACCATTGCCACAAATATTGCAAAATAGTACATAATTCCATTTATATGGTTGTATTACTAACAAATGATTTCGTCGATCTTGACTTTTGAAATATTTTTGTAAAATAACTTCACTAAACATTTTTTGCAAAATTTATTTTCTTATAATTTTCTATTATTCAATCACTTTATACACCAATAATTTGTAACACCACTTCCATTATCTAATTTACGACAATTTATTAATTGATTTTCACTTGGATTATTGTAAAAGTCTTTGAAGAAAATTAGCGGTTTTGAAAACGGCATTTTCTAACTTGACTGAATTCAAAACCAAACAAACAGATGCTGTTATCAATTGCACAAAACAAAAACACTTTTGCATGCACTCTCTCTCCAAAGTAAGGCAACTGAGTCAAAGAGTTTATTTTTCGACGGCGTTAGATGAATGGCTAATTACGAAGTTGGTTGCTTTGTGGGGATGGCAGTGGGTTAGGAATGAACAAAGCGAGAATTTTTAAATATTAATCATAGAATAGTTTTCCATTAATGGTTTTTGTAGAATCAGAATCGCACTGAAATGTAATAATCTTACATTACATCTATCTGTTCTTTAATATTTCAATTTAGATTTTGTATGATTTTCTCCGGAACCAATAAGATTAAGTTTTGTCATAAAATATGTAAACAAATTTATTCTTAGCTTAAAAATGAAAAAAATATACAAAAATACTTTCAAATTCAGATTTCTTGAGAACATTTAAATATTTCTTTTTAAGCTACATCCATTGTCTAAAAAGTGTGCCTAGCAAGCCTATATGCCTAGGCAGCATTCTTTTCTCGTGTTATTGGCAACATTGTTTCCTTTTGTCTAGTTTCTCGTTAAACCCCATCGGCAGCGTCGTACTAATAGTTAAAAATTTAACTGATGAAATTCGGCATTAAAGTTGAAGTTTTTTGCAATTAAAAGGAGGAATTGTGATTTGTGCGGAAGTGTTTCAACAATAAACAATAAATTTAAAGTTTAATGTTCAGTAGTTTGTTTAACAAGTGTTTTTCTACAATTCCTTTCATGTGTGAGAGAGTGTAACTTCTTCTTCGCATGGCAATCATTCACTACGGATTGGTGAACTCCATTCTAGGTTTGCTGATTGATAGCAATTAATGCCAATGCTGACATTTTTTTGTTATTTCTTCCACACACCACAATTGAAAATTAGGCAGTATTAATATTATTAAACAAAAAAATTACAACAAATTTAGTGGAAAATAAGCAAAAATATACTTGGTTTTAATGCGTTTGTACCAATTTGTGAGTGAAGTATAGCAAAAGCTTCCATTTTTTTCCATGTGTTGTGTTTTTATGTTTCTCTCTTTCTCTCGCTCTCATGAAGGTTAGAGACTGATATGGAGTGGCAGGTATGCTTTTTAAATATATTTCCAATAAATATCCTTTTATTTCCGCATTTTTTAACTCTTCAAAAGTATTTTAAAATAAAAAGCTTATGAAAATATTCTTTGCATTTCATTGAGAGCGCCCTCTGGTTAAATACTTGTGTATCAAAAAAGTCAAAGGTTGTTATCAACAATAAGTTGTACTGTGGTGAGTTTGTCTGTTGTTTTGTGATTCAACAATAATAGGGGGAAAATGAGTTGTTTAGGTTTGTGTGGTGGCTAAAGGTATGTACATGTAGTGTTGGTAGGTGTTATTGTCAAAAATACTACATTAAATTGGAAAACAAATGCTGACGGATAAATCAAATTAAATTATTGAATTTAATATTTAAAAAATTTAAAAAAGATAATTGTTTAGGAAAATAAGTATTTAATGCGGAATATTAAAAATTAAAAAATGTCCCAAATTTCCCAAAATTTTTAAGTAATATATTAATTGAAAATATGATATAAACAATTAAAAGTATAATTCAATATTTTGTTTACTTTCCTTAAAAAAATAATATGGCCGTATATTTTATATTTTCTAGACCTTGGCGAAAATGTTATTTCACATGTGTGTTGAGATCAAGATCAAGGTTTTCTTTATTACTTTGCTTTGTATTGTAGTTGTTGGTAGAATTTATTATAGCTGGTTGTTAACTAAACGTGTAGTCATAGGGTCTTTTTTCTGCTGTATCTTTTTTATTCCCACAATCGTAAGTGAAACAAAGGCAATGGCAAAAATGGAAAAAAACTTAGATGGGCGTAGGTCTAAAAACGCTGAGGGGAAAAAGACAAAGTGATCTAATGGCAAATGGCTTTTGGATATTTGATTCATTGCCCATGTTGGCCCAACTTCCCCCGATGGGGAAAAATCTCTGATTTTTGATAGGGGGTGGATGGAAAAAACCAAAAAACAAATTTTGTAAATTTCCTTCCTTCTTTTGGGTATACTCATCATGTTTTCGAAATATCGTCTTCTTCTTTAGACCTGTACTATGTGAAAGAGAACTCAAAACAAAAGCCGCAAGAATCGCTTGTACATAAGAACATCAACATCACGTAAACAATTTAAACTTGGATTCCCACTTTTGCGTCTTTGCAAAATTTTTGAAGAAAACAAACGCCAAAAAAATTCTACAACATTGCCGAATTTGATTCTAAGCGTTGTTCTTTCCAGCGTTCATGCGTGTTTTTTGGTCGTTGTTGTTAACAAATACATAGTATTTGAAACATGGAACAGCATGACCGAGCGAATCATTGACGTAGTTGCTCTTTTTTTCGCTTGCCTATATACCTTTAAGTTTTGTAGGCTTTTGGTGTTCTAGAACCAGTTTGTGCGGTTCTCTCTTGGCATGGTTCATAAAAAATGAATTAATGTTACTTTCAAATAATAGACGACTACACATGTTCGGCAAAGATTTTTTTGTATGTTTTGGGGCTTTTTTCTTGGTTCTTAAATAGGCTTCTGCGGAAGTGTTTATGTGGGGGTAATTTGGAAAAGTCGATTCAGTGTTTTGTGGTTTTAGACAATTTTGGAAAAAATATCAAAATTAAGCTTGGGTTTGAGATTTTATGATATATCATTTTGAAAATGGATAAGATTATAAAAATATATATGAGATATAAGATTATATTTCAACTTAATTTTATCTCAAATATTTTCCTAACAGAAAAAAATTATATTAATTATTTTTAAGCGACAAACACAGCAATTAAAATCTATTTTTAATGGAGCAACTTAAAAGTTATAAAGTTCATATTTAAAAAGTTATAAAGTTCATATTTAACAGCAACTGCCATGGAAAAAATGTTTGTTGTAATTTTTTTCCTCATTGATACCCCGAGCTCTCGTTATAGTTACTTAAAAAAATAATAATATTTGTTTAATGTACAGCTTGTTTGCTTGCTCTACTACCACAACTACTGCTGCTGCAGCGGCTATATTCATTTTTATTGTGTTAAGGTCAAGGTGTTCGGAAAAAAATGTTTGCTCCAAGTATAGAGTAACGTTGTAATGTAATTGTAGTTTTTTGTTCGCTGGTATTGCTGTTGTTGTATGTAATACAATTTTATTGTATGGTCTCAAGTTCGGTTTGTTGTATCTATGTGTTAGGATGTGTTGAGAAAAATTTGAAGTTGAACAGTAGTAATAAAAAATGTGTGTCTAAGTCTAACTTAAAACGAAAATGGACTAGGAAATACTTTAGCCACTGTTGTTGTTTTTGTTGTTATTAACCTTCAACAAGGTTTCATTTTCATTTATGTATTTTATTTGTTTTTATTATTGTTGTAGACACTTTTTTGTGGACGACCACGTAGCTGCCGCCACACTAATTGCCGTCATCATCACCGTTGACTGTAGATTCTCAAAACTGTCCCCTTGCCTTTTGTTAACAAATTAATTATCTTTATTTCTCCCCCTATTTTGAGAATTTGTTATAGTTTCATTCAACTATTTAGATCTTTTCGAAACCTGATTTTTATTGTTTTCCATTTAACAAAAACAACAGGGCAGAAAAAAAATGTTCAACTTGTATTTTTTGCAAATTCCATTAATAGATTTATGTAAATTTGCACCTGTTGAGAAATGTGAGAGAGCAATAACAGCAAAAACAAGAACAACAATACAAAAAAAAAAAAAAAAAAAGAAAGAAATGTGGTAACAAGGAAAATGCAAATGCCGACAATTGAGCATTTGATTCTAAGAAAGTGAAAATCGATTCGTTCTCATTTAGACACAAAATAGACACCCCAAAAATCGACTTATATATGATAATTCCAAATTTTTATAAAAATACCATCATGGACTCAAAAATAGTAATTTTTAGCTTTTTAAGATTGGTCTTTCATAGAATTTAATTATGAATATATTTTTGGTTTAAAAGATATTTATTCAAAAATTATGTCATTGGAATAAACATGCATCAGGAAAAAACATTTTACATCATTATACAAAATACATTTCCAAAGAACTCATATGTAAACATAGCCTAAGTCATGGAAATACCTTTGTTGTGATATTTTGCTGAAATGGCAACATTGTATTTTGGGTCTAGGTTGGCAACATTTTCTCTTGATAAAAGGTATTTGTGGTTTTTGATGAAAAAGAAAGAGAGAGGGAGAAATTAGCTCCTTATCATCTGCTCTCTCCTAATTTCTCTCATGAATATTGTCTTTTTTTCTATTTTCTTGTAAAAACTAATATGCATGTGTGAGAGAGTGTATCTTCTTCATTCCGTGATAATCATTCACTGTGGATTGTTAACAATCGTGAATGGTGTTTTATATCAATGCGTGGCAATGCCGACAAGCGGGGATTTAGTTATTGTTACACTATTCGCATTGAAAGGTGTTTGGGTTTAAAAATAAAGGAATAAATATGTAAAAATAAATAAATATAAGGCAAAAATTAATTAATATATAAACTTTTTGTTTCCATACACAAAAAAAAAAAAAAAAATGATATACCAAGTTCGAAATACACATTAATAAAATATATCCTAGGATAATTAATATTTTTAGACTTTGTATCAAGTGCTTAGGTGGTCATAGTTTCCAAATTCTATATTAGGCATTATGTAATCATTGAAAATCTCTCTTTGAATCTTATTGAGTTGTTCTCATGAAGGAAGGAATTTTTTAAGCCGAATTTGAATCAGTTTTTACATTATCTCTTAAAGATTTCCGAATAGCCTTTGTAGCCTTCAAAACGATTTTCTATAATAAACAAGTTCTATTTCAATTCAATTCAAATTTCCATATAATTTCATAGAATATTATGAATTTTTGCTATCAATTTCCTTTGTTTAAACAGAAAAAAGCTATTTCCAATCATTTCCTCTCCATTTATGGTCTTTGGATATTCGCTGCTAAACCATGATAATTTGTGCTGGCCAAGGCAAACCTTTTAAAGCACTTACAATTTCCTTTCGTATATAATTTTCCACAAAACCATACAACACCCATACAAGTTATGGCAACGTTGAAGACGACAACGACGGGACGTCTGACTCCCTCCCCACCATTTAAAAAAAGGGAAACCAGTATTTTGTAATGTTTTGGTTTGATTCTTTCTTTTTGCTTTTGCGCAGAGGACAAAGAAAAACTACACAAAGAAGTTGATGGCCAGCCAGCCAAGCCTTGGTATAGCCTACTCAATGTCTTACAGAAGACTTCAAATTCCACTAGGTTTCCTTTCAACGGTGCAAAAAACATACACTACAAGAACTAGACATTGCAAAACAACACACTAAGGATGGGATGGATTCAAAAAGGTTGTTAACAGTTGGAGGAAAAAACCAAACGAAATGCAGAAACTGCTAACTAACAGCCTGTTCCACGATGTCGAAAGAACACGTTCGCACAACTTTTACACGACAAACAGCTGATTTCCGTTCCACTAAAATCCATCAGAACGAAAATTTGCACGAAAATCAAAGCGAACGAAAACGTAAGCGTTTCAGTGTAATTTTGCGTTCCACTATCTTTTTTCTTTCGTACGCATGCGAACACAAATGTCAAAATCAGTCACTTGTGTGTTTGCTGTCGAATGATAAAAATTAAGGAAAATTGTTTTAACATAAACATTCCTTGATTGAAAATGGAAAGAAAAATGTAAGTAAAAATAATAAATGCAATTTAATCTGTGAACAACAAATATACATTTTTTTATTTTCTCAATTCCAGCACGAAAAAACTACACAGCTGCGGGCACTAGTTGAGTATATGGGGGAGAATCCTAAGTTCGGCAGAGGAGTGCCAATTTTTGGAAGCAGCAGGCAATCCCATGAAGACCACTGGAAGACCCAAACCTAGAAAAAATCATTTTTTTATTATTTCAAAAATGTAAAAATACAATCATACTTACTGGTTGTTAGGTACTTCAAATAAATTCGAAGCATCTCTTAAATGCCTCCGTGGCACAATTTGAACCTCCTCCTCATCATCCATAAAAAATAGGGCTACAGAAATATACATTTTTTTCTTTTTTAAGAACACAAATAATCTGAACACAATCACTAGAAATTTTATTTTGTTTGTTTATTTACAATTTGTTTGTTTACAACTGAACTGTCAGTTGAGACAGAGCCACTGCTGCTTTTTCGCGTTTAAATTAGACATTTGGCGCTTTTTTTTTGCCTTATTTCGCGATTAATTTTGCCAAAAAATATTTTGCAACACTGAATCACGTAAGGCTATGCGAAAGAAAGAACGAAAGTTAGTGGAACGCATTCTTATGCGAAAGTGAGTGAGTAGCCTTCGTTCGCACAAATTTTCTTTCGAGATCGTGGAACAGGCTGTAAGTGAAAAAGTGGTTTGGTAACGTTTCTTTTGAAAAAAAAAGGGGAGCCACAAGATGATGATGATCATCATTATCGGCTAGAATAAAAATAACTCGAGTTTAAAGAAAGGTAACTGCAACTACCCAATCCTAGACAATGTCCAATGATGTGCTGCTGGCTGGCTCTAGGAAAATGTGTGTATATCTGTATGTATGTATATTTGTGGCAAAGGCCTTCAAGTAGCTGTTCATGTAGCTGTTGTTACATGGGCCCTCTACCCTTTTTGTGTATGGCGACCACGGCCAGCACACAACTGGCCATAATGTGAACGTTACGTTACATTGCTTAGTTTTTGTTTTCCTCTTCGTTTTTTCTAGTTTGTTGTCTGCCATGAGTTCTTCATTTTCATTTCTAGCCCTGACTTTGGTAAGGTTGCCGTTGTTATTTTGTTTGGCAAAGACAGGAAAACAGCAGACCTTAGTCATACATCCTAGGTTTTTGTGCTATGGCTAGTTCTTTTGTTCCCCCGCGTTTTGGTCGGACGGGGTTGGTTGGTCGTTTGGTTGCTTGCTTAGTTGGTGTGACCGTGAATTCTTGAAATAAGTAAATGATTGTTGCTCAGCTTACGAAAGGAAGTGGCAAATTGCTCAGAAGCGACAGCAATAAGAACTTGTTGCTTACATAAATAGGAAAAATTATAAAGGCAGAGGTAGTTAGAGAGCCACCGTTGATGATGGCGATGGTGGTTTTGCTGGAAACACAAAAGACTTAAGGCACAAACTTTGCAAAACTTTAGCAAGAATAACAACAATAACAACAAAGAGTTGGTTGGTTGGATGGTTTGGGCGGCTTTACAGGGAATGAATGTTGTTCCGTCTGTTTCTTCTTCTTCTTCTTCTTCATCTTCTCAATTGCCACAAAAGGGCATAGCAATGTAGCCAGCCAACAATTTGCTTTATCCGCTTCATTCTCCCAGCCATTTTTGTATGGATTTCTGTTTAATTTCTTTTTTGTTTTTTTTTGCCATGTTACTGGCAAAACAACCATGATCTTGACTTTACCTTACTCAACACGAAACTAATTTTTCTTACTTAATATTCCCGGGAACGCACACACCCATACATAACAACAGACTCCAAGAAATCACGCAATCTATTAGGTGTGTGCGTGTGTGTGTTGGAGTCTTGCTTCTAGTTTCTTCTTCTATGTTTGTTTTTTTGGCTTCTTGTGTCTCTCCTTTCTTTCTTAAGTGCTGTGTGTTTCTTGTTTGGTTCACTATTATATGGGAAAGAACTCAAGAATACCAGCCAATACCCATACCCACACACTTACATTTGCAGCACGCATGGCTCTGTAGGAGGAAGAGGAGAGAGAAAGAGTGACTTGAAAACATTGTCAGTCATTTGTGGCAAAGCTGCTGCTTCATCATTATTATTACCACGATCATCATGGTTTCTCTATTCATTATTTCTATTACGTGAAGTTGTTACTTTGCAAAGACAAAGACGTAAAAGAAGAATTAAAAAAAAAATGAAAAGAAATATGGAAAATTGTTATCACATGACATAACATGAGTGAGTTATTATTATTTAATGTTATGACGGTGTGAAATTGTTGTTTTTTCCTTTTTCTTGTTTTCCTTTCTCTATGTTCTTTTCATGTCGGTTCTAGAGTTTGTCTTTTTGTTTTTGCCACATGGAAAGTTCCTGAGGAAGTAATTAGGCATTAGCATTTTAATCAGAAAATATAAAATTGTTTGAGGAAAGAGCTTTTAAGCATAATGACCTAAAAGTCATAAATTTTCCATGGAATTTATGGAAGGTTGAGAATTGAGGGTATTTTAATTCTATCGGGAGTGATCAGATCAGGAAGGGCACTTTTGGTTCTGAAAGGTAAACCTATCCAAAGAAGAATTGCTATGCTTTTCCATGTGAGAGAGTGTGTCTTCTTCATCCCAAGGGTAATCATTCATTGTGAAATGTTATCAATCCTTAAAGCCCTTATTAACAATGAATGGCAATGCCGCAAAGTATGGGGGTTTAGTTATCTGTTTAATGAATGGTGGTTAGGAAAAAAATATAAATAAAAAACAGATATATAAATAAATAGCCAAAAAAATAATAGAAGATAATAAATAAATAAGTTGAAAGTATACTTTAAGCGTGAATGTTCACGATGAATTGCAATACTTTCCTGTGTGAGATAGTGTGTTTTCTTTTCCCAATGGCAATCATTCACTTTGGATTAGCTAACAATCATAAATGCTGTTTTTGCACATAAATGACAATGCCGGAAAGTATATTTTAAATATATGTTAGACAATGAAAGGCCGTTGGATTAAAAGAAAATATAAAAAATAAATTGAAAATTGCAATACATTCCATGTGTGAGAGAGTGTATCTACTTTATCCCATGGCAATCATTCACTGTGGATTGTTACCAATTGTAAATGAAGTTTTTTGCCAATAAATGGCAATACCGTCAAGCTTTTTTTTTGTTATCTGCTACACTATCCACTAACGAAGGGGCGCTGGTAAATTAAAATAAATATACAAATCAAAAATGTATAAACAAAATATTAAAATAAGAAAAACAAAATAAAAATATGACATATATGAAAAATGATTTACAAAACATGTTTGCGAGAGAGAGAAAATTGATGTTTTATTGTTCAAAGGACAAAATTTTCTAATCTTGTCCCCTTTTCTCTCTGTGTAAACATTAAATATTGCAATTTCCAATTGAAATCGTTTTGGACACAACATTTTAAATTCATTTATAACCAGAAAAAAATTATTCTAAAGAAAAAAATAATAATAACCTTATGAAATCAAATCGATTTTCAAAAACTCAAACCCAATACCTTGTGACATATTGAAAGAAAAGCAAAAAAATGCCAATACTGAATTGAAAAGAAAAATGTTGTTAACAGTTGTTTTCGCTTCATTTGTTTGTTGTCTGCGACCCAAAATAAACATGGCTGTGGAAGTAGTGAGCAGCAGCTACAACAAAAAAAAATTACATTTGATTGGTGTCTTTTTCGTATTGGCCAAAATGTCCATTAATATGATTTTATTTGACAATTTCCTTAACTAAACATGACAATATGTCAGTTTGATTTACCTTAACCACTAATGTCACATGCAATGGCCAACAAAGCCAACATAAAGTCGCACACACAACCATAAGGCCATATAAATCTATAGATTTTTTTCCTTCAACATCAAAAAGCCAAGTATTTGATTTCAGAATGAAAAAAAACTATTTAAGATAAACACATATATAGATGCCATATTTATATATACAACTATGTTAACCATGAGCTCAATTCGTATTGTGCTGAATAAAATTGAAAAAAAAAAAAAAAAAACATTTGATTTTGTTTTAGAACTTTGAGTTCTTTAGATTTGTCCTCAACTCCTACCTCCCTCTCTCAAGCTCTCGCTCTCAATGTCTCATTGCAATGAATATTTTCAATGTTTACTCAAAACAAACTTGGTAAAACATGGCTAAGTAATGCCACTAAACTATGAATGAATAAATAAAAGAATGAAAAAAAAAACACAAAATTAAAACTAACGTTATAAGAAAATACGTCACCCCAACAAATCGAGCTGGGTTTTGTAGTGGATTTTCAATAACATTGCAAGTGTCTGTGTTTTTTTTCTTCAGTTTTATTCTGAGCCATAAGAATAGTAATATATATGTTCACATAATACCAAAAATAAACGTTACGAATCAAAATATATGGTATTTAACACCGCTACAATGTCAGCAAGACAAGTAGGCTTTAACATTAACCTAGAAAAGTGGTCGATGTGGTTGTTGTTGTTGCTCTTGTGGTGGTGGTTGTAATGCACAATTTTTTCAGAGCAAGCTCAAAAAATGTTTGTCTTGAGATCAATTAGAAATACTAGCAGCAAGCAATGCAAGCATTAGAAGAACAACAATAAAAACAACTCGATGAAAAAAGACTAAAGCCAAGGTCGACAATGTGTCATTTTTCCAAGTTTAAGCAGAGAATAAGAATTTAATCGATTGTTTTTTGTTTGTTGCAGCATTAGGCAAAGTTCACAAAAATTTTTTTTGCATTAACAAAAATGTGCAATTAAATATTTTTACATTCGTGGTTAATATAAAACCAAGAACAACATAAATCGAAGAAATATTGAATTGATCGAGAATAAAATGTTCACCTAGGATTTATCCCATTTTCCCTTAAATTTTTGGTCGTCATGATTTTTAATGTTATAGTAAACATAATTCTGTTGTTAACAGTTCTGAAAGTGTTGAAATTTATCATGTCTAATATCTTTCGTAAAAGATTTTGTATAATTCATATATCGGTAGGTCTTTTAAAGTTTCTGTTAAGTTAATAACATAGCCCTGTTGATAACATAATTGCTAAATTTGAAATTGTTTAATACATTTTCACTATATATTTTTCTCCAAACATTACCATATGCTATAATGTTAGCGTTTAATTTAGGATATAACTATTTCTATTAATGTAATAGCTAACATAGTTCTGTTATTAACAGTGCTGTGGAATATGTTAAAATTTGTTTCGAAACACTTTCTTTTATATAATTCTATGGTAAAAGTTATATATAGCCAATTTTTTTTTTAATTTCTGTTAAGTTGATAACAGAGTTCTGTTAATAGCATAAAGTATAAATTCGTTTTTAACACGCTTTATTTACATTTTTTTTTAAC